GGAGATGTCACATATGGACCCACACCCACTGATAGTGGGAGATGTCAACACACCACTCTCACCAATAGGCAAGTCATTCAAATTAAAATGAAAAAAAGGCTGGAGCTAACTGACATTACAAACCAAACAAACCTAATAGATATTTATGAACTATATCACCCAAACACAAAGAATATGCATTTCCCTATGCCTTATGGAAATTTCTCCAAAATTGACTACATACTCAGACACAAAGCACATCTCAGCAGATAGAAGAAAACTGAATCCTGCATCCCATCAGACCACCATGGAATAGAACTGGATATCAACAAGAGAAACAGTAGATAGTTTACAAACTCATAGAAACAGCAAAACTCTACTGAATGATAAAGTACTTAGAAAATCTAAAAGAAATGGATATTTTTCTCAATAGGTACTACTTACCAAAATTAAATCAAGACCAGATAATCATTTTGAATAGATCAATATTCCACTGGTGAAATAGAAGCAAAGTCATTAAAAGTTTCCCAACCTAAATAAATAAATAATAAACAAATAAATAAATAAATAAATAAATAAAGCCTATTGCCAGAAGGTTTTAGTGAGGATTCTACCAGATTTTCAAAGAAGTGTTAATGTCAATACTCCTTAAATTAGTCCACAAAATAGAAACAGAAGGAACATTTCCCAATTCATTTTATAATTTCACAGTTAACTTGATATCCATGTTGGGAAAAGGCAAAAGTACTTTGTCCTAAGTACTGCCATTTTGACATCAGACTCCATTTACATGTAGGGTGAAACAATGATCCATTCCCATGCTCTAGGGCAGCTGTTGACCTTCCAATAGCTGAACCACCTCCTCCTTAAACAATAGAAGTAGTCTGTTATATATCTAAAGTTCTCTACAAACATGGCTGCTCCTAACAACAGAAAGAACAAATGAATCTGATTGGATTGGTTGGACTGAAAAGCTTACATGCTATGTCAGTGGACAGTGAAGGAACATTTAGGGAAAACCCCCAAATGTTGAATCCTGATTGGTGAAAAACTGTAACTAACTTGGCACAGATGTTTATGGGTTTTGTGCTTGAATACTTGCTGAAATGAATGTTTGAGGATATAGGCAGTACAGTTTCTAAGGATATATGCAGTAGTGCTGCCCTGCAATAAATACTTTATTTTTTTTTTTTCTTGTGTTTTGGAGACAGTTTTTTTTTTTTTTTTTTTTTTTTTGTAGCCATGGCTGTCCAGGAATTCTCTCTGTAGATCAGGTTGGTCTCAAACTCAAAGAAATTTTCCTTTCCTATGCTTCTCAAATGCTGGAATAAAAGGCCTACATCATTGGTTTGAAGAGAAAACTGAACCTAAAGAAAGGTCCAGACATCTACAAGACTGCCACCAACTAACAATTTCAGCAACCATGGAAAGGCTACCATAAATGCCCTTCCCGGATAGTGAGATCAACAACTAACTTATCCATGGAGCCCTCATCTAATACCTGTTGGAAACAAAGCAAACACCCATACCTAAACACTGAGTCGAACTAGAATCCAGATGCAGACGGAGAGGACAAGACCAGCTGACCTGAACAAGGAGGAGCTAACAGACTACCAGACTGATAGTTGGGAATCCAGCATGGGACTGACTCAGGCCCCCCTGAATACGGGTCTCAGCCAGAAGGACTGAGCAGTCTAAGGGACCTCAGACAGTGGAACCAGGATGTATCCCTTGTGCACAAAAGGACCTTGGGAACACATCCCCCATGGAGAGATACTGCCTTAACCTAGAGACAGGAGAGAAGTCCTAGTCCCTACTTCAAATGACCTTACAGATCTACATGACCCCACCTGGATGGCATTGCCATACGTGTGGAAATGGGGTGGGGGAATGGGAGGGGAGGGTGGTCAGGGTACATGTGAGGGGGCAGAGAAGGTAAATGGGAGGGAGGGAGAGGGAACTGGGATCGACAAGTAAAATAATAAATTAAATAAAAACAATTAAATAAAAAATGCATATAGTATGTATGAAAGGGCATCTAATCCATATTTTACCAATTAATAATGTCAATTATAATTAACATATAAAAGGATATGTATCTATTGTTTTGTCATACTCAAACATAGAATGAGCAATTGGAAAAAAAAAAAAAAGGCTTGCATCACCACCACCTGGCTAAAAAATCTTGCTTTGTGGAAAGTTTTGTATCTGCTTGGGTTGATTTGGAGCCTAGGACCACAACATTCAAATGACGTGAAGGCTCAACAAAGACAGATAATTACAAACTGATTCCTCTTATAAATATAGATACAAACATGCTTGATAAAATGATTGCAAATTGAATCCAAGAATACAGCAAAAATGTCATTCATCATGACCAAGTAGGCTTCATCTGAGAAATATAGGGGTGGTTCAATTCTAAAAATTAGTAACTGTAATCTATTATCTAAACAAACAAAAGAAGAAACACATAAACATTATTAGAAGCAGCAAAGACATTTGACAAAATCTAACACACCTTTATGATAAAATCTTAGGGATTTTAGGAATACAAGGCACATAACTAAACATAACAAAAGCAGTTTGCAAAAAGCCCATCACAACTTGAATGGAGAGAAACTCAAGGTGAGTCCACTAAAGTAATGTCTCCTTACCAATTAAATATAGAGCTTGAAGTCTTAGCTAGACCAGTAAGAGAACCAAGGGAGATCAAGGGCATACAAATTAGAAAAGAAGCCAACGTATCTTTATTTGTAGATGATATGATGGTATGTTTAAGTGATTCAAAAAATTCCTTCTCATCCATCTTCAAGTACTCTTTGCTTAATCTCTGCGGTTATATGAATTGTATCATGAGTTTCAAAGGCCTAAAAGCTAATACCAACATATAAGAGAATACATACTACAGTGAGTTGTTTGTTTCAAATGAATAATATTGCATTGTCCAAATGTATTATTTTTTCTTTATGCATCCATCTGTTGACAGACATCTAGGCCATTTCCCATTTATTATTATATCAAATAGACTATTTATGAACATGGGTTAGAAAGTGTCTCTGTAGAAAGATGTAGGGTCCTATGGATATGTCACTATGAGTGTTCTTGGTAGACCTATTCCCTGATTTTTGAGGAAGTACCAAACTGATTTCCATAGTAACTGTATAAATTTGCACTCCCATCATGAGTGGATGAGTATTTCCCTTACTCTACAATTTTGACAGAATGTGCTGTTATTTGTTTTATTGACGTTGGCTATTCTGATGGATGTAAGATGAAATCTAAGAAGAATTTTAATTTGCATTTACCTGATGACTAAGGATGTTGGACATTTGTTTTTGTGTTTCTCAGCCTTTTGTGTTTATCTTTTGAGAATTTCATGTTTACCCCCATTTTTAATTGAATTACTTATTTTGTTGATATCTATTTTTTTCCACTTTTTTTGTATATTTTAGATATTAGCCCTCCAGATATAGCCCTTCAGATTTTTATTAGGGCTGGCCTTCTGAATCTTGTTCCAGGAAATGACTGGTGGTAGTTCCTGAGCCTAGTATATTTTGCCTACTTCCTCAGTCTTTAGGATCCTCCCTTTAGGTTGTGTAAGCCCCACAGAATGAGGAGTCTCCCAGTTTCGGTCATTACCCCCAAGAACTCAATGTCCAGTTCAGTTGCTGCAACATGCAAGAGGTTTTAATGAACAGGAATCATTTGCACAAACAGGCTCCCTCAGAGTGCAAGCCAGAGAGAAACCCCATTCCCTGGTCACAGGTGTCTTGAAAGGCAAAACCCACAAGCTTAGTTAGGGGTGTGACCCTCTAACTTAGTTAGGGAGTATGTGACCCTTTGAGGCCTGATGGTCTTGCTATTAGGGTCAACAGACCTTAGGGCCTCAGGGTATGCTATATCAACTGGGTCAAGAATTGTAGTTAACCATAACCAGGGAAAAGGAAAAGAGAGTTGAGACAGGAGTGGGTGATATCTGCTGATTCAGAAAGATGAAGTCAGAATGAAACAATCATTTGTTTTCTGTATGTGTATCTGAACGTGTTGCTGCAGATTTTTTATGTGGAGGCCTGAGATTAGGGTCTACAGTGTCCCTCAATTGCTTTCCATTTACAACTTAAAGAAAGGGCTCTTAACTGAATCCACAGCTCAAAGCCTTGGCTAATTTAGCTAGATATCTTCCTAGAGTTTATCTCTGTCTTTTCATTGTTAGAATTAAAGATGTACTGCCATGCCCACCCAGCATTATGTGGGCTCTGAGTATCTGAATTTACCTTATATTTCCTCCCCGCAAGACCAAGCACTTTAACCACAGAGCCATCTCCTCAGCCCTTTAAAATGATAAAAATGCAAAACTGGAAAAACAATCTTACTCCTGTTATTTACTTAAGTTTGCACCTAATTTTCTCTTGAAGAAAACCAAAGTCATGAATATGATAAATTGAGAGCATCGTTAATAGTGGAGATTGAAAGTATTCAGGTACTTCAAACACATTTTTAATATCTTGATCATATCTGTATATTTCTTTCACAATATATGTACATTTTGAAAACTTTGAGCCAGTACTGATCTAAACAGGCTGGTTAGTAACTACAGCTGTGACACTTAACCAGTTTTGCCATAGCTAAAACTAGCATGCCGAGAAAGGGCAGAATGCACAGAATTGCAATAGTTATGCCCTTGGATAAGAACATATGAAATATAGTCTTTGATTATAATACCTCATGTCAGAACCTTAGTTTGTATTAGTCAGGAAGCTTACAGAGATGTAATTCCCTTCTAAGGAGACTTTCAGAACGTAAACAGAGTTTCTAAAATACCGGACTGAGGCAGCCTGGGCTAAAACTGTTTACAGTTTCCAAAACCTTCTCCGTGAGCAGTAGTTCTGCCATGTTCTGCCCCGCCTCCTAGCACAGCGCAACTACATTTCCCACAGGCCCTGCATCTTTTACTCCAGCGTGTTGCTTTCTGGCAGCGTTTTACGTCAGTTGAAAGTGAAGGTTTGGCGCCTGCAGACTCTTGTAACATGGGGTCTTCCTTGTCTGGGAAAGCAGAGCTTCCCACGGCTGCTGCCACAGCTGCCCCCGCGAACCCACCTGCGGAAGCCGCTGCGCCGCCCTCCCCTGCACAGGACTCGGCTTTTAAAAACTGCTGGAGCTGTCGCTTGCTATCTGGGTCTGCGCTCTTGGGGGCGGGCGCCTACGTCTACTTGGTGGCCAGGAGACCGATGAAGCTGGGGATCCCACCGCAGCCAGGCAACATAGCGCAGATGGTCCTCGGCATCAGTGAGCCAGCTTGAGTTGGGGGAGCTGGGAAGGTGGGGAAAGGTGGGGGGGGGGGGGGTGGGAGGGCTGTGGGGCCGCCTTTCCCCTCACTACCCTGTAAGAAACATGCGCGAAAGATGTGTGTTTCAGCGATGCAGTGGTTAAGTAAAATGCCGTATATGGAGCGCTAAGTAAACTAAAATGCATTATACCAAAGGCCTTTTTTGTTTTGTTTTGTTTCCTTTCAGGTATTGCCTGTTGGGGTGTAGTTGTCCTGACAGACCCGAAAGGGAAGGCCTACCGAGTTGTTTGAAAGCACCAGCAGTTACTTTGCTGTCGCCTATTCCTGGCTGAAAGGCAGAAAGAGCAAGCAAGCATTGCCTTGTGGATATTCTTTGCAGACGTGGACAAGGATGTTCTTCATTATAAGAAATACCAAGAGGACTGTGACAACATGAACTGTCATTCTTTGTCCCTGGATGTTTAATGTTTTCTCCCCTCTGGTTATAAAGGGACAAATAAATCCCCTGAAAGCAAAAATGGTTCTGTGTCTTGTCCAGGGAGGTTGTGTGCAGTTCAAATTATACTGAAAGATAACAGCTTTAAGAAAATATTAAAGTGGAATAAATGATAGGCCAATAGTGAAACAATAGAGAAACAAGCTATTTTATTATTATAGTAAGTAGTTCTTTTTCTTTTTTCTAATTGTATCAGTAGCTATTGGCCAGCCTAACCCTGGATGGTGTGTAAAACTAGATTTGAAAGGTTTTCATGCTTTCCAAAGTAGTCTTAACTCCTTCACTGGCTGGCTTGTTATTGGTAAACTGGGAGACCAACTGGGTGGGTTTGCTTTGTTGGTTGCTCAGCACAGTAATGAAGCAAAAGGATTTCCTTCCTGGCTATCTTTCACAGCTGGGGTAGTTACAAATAGGCAGTAGTTACCCCTAGCAACTAAATGTCAATACATAATAAAAGTCATAAATAGCAAAATATTTAATAAAAATTCAAAAGAAAATCTGTTGATGGCTTTTCCTGTAAGTATTATATAAATATTTTAAATTGGAATTTGGATGACTTTGAGATAAAGGCTTGAAAACATTTTAAGAGATATTTGTGTTTGCAGTCAGGCCTTGGTTTCTTGGGTTTTTTATGAAGTAGTGAGTTGTCTGTGCAAAACTATGTTTAGGTGGTCTTCAAAGTGGAAAGATAATATTAAATTCAGTACCAATTGGTAAGGTTTGAATATTATGTTGAACAAGTATTTTACTTTATTTTTGACAATTTTATATGTGTATTTAAAATATTTTGACCATACTTTCTCTGTTAACCAAATCATTTCCTCTCTCTCTCTCTCTCTCTCTCTCTCTCTCTCTCTCTCTCTCTCTCTCTCTCTCTCTTTCTCTCTGACTCTTTCTCTTTGTGACCCACTGAGTTTAAGAGTTTAATTATTCTGGACTACACTACTGAAGTGTACTTTTTGTTTGTTTTGTTTCTGGGTACATTTGGGGAAAAATTTTATAATAACTGGGCAAATCTGTGGGGCATTTTCTTGATTAATGATTATGTGGGAGGGTCCAGCCCACTGTGAGTAATGCCACCTGTGGGCAGGTAGTCCTGGGGAGTGTAAGAAAGCAAGATGAGCTAGCTAGGGGTGCAAGCCAGTAAACAGCACTCCGTCAAGGTCTTGGCTTCAGTTCCTGCCTCCAGGTTCCTGCTCTGAGTTCCTATGTTGACTTCCTTGATGTAAGCCAAATAAACCCTTTCCTCCCTAAAGCTCTTAGTTGTGATGTTTTATCAAAGTGATAGAAACCCTGACACAAATAGCATATTTGAAAATAATGTATATACTTTGGCTTAACATGATGATAAAAATGTTTCTACTCATCTTAACCTTTAGCATGTCATATGTTTGAGGGTTTTGTTATTTATTTTCCTGAAGAGGGCCTTACCTTAGTGTTGATAGCTGATAATTGCCCAGAGTGGTAGTTACTGAAAGTTGGGTGACTACTTTTTCAAATTGAAAGTTTACTATATAGACGGTTCTTTACACCAAGTATTTCTCACTGCAATGCTTTTTGATAGCACCATACTCAGAGGAGAATTTCAAGACTGGGAAGTAATCTTATAAACCCTGCAGCTGTTTCAACAGCTAAGCTTGTAAGAGAGTCTCAATTATTTATTGACACTTAAACCATGTTTATAACTCTTTGCCAGTATCTTCCATCTTGAGGAACCCCTTTCTTTGGTGAACCATAAACAGAGAGACTCTAGCCATTACATGTTTTATCATAAGATTAAAGTAATTGTGTCACATTTACAAGTTCTACTTTTAATATTACTTGCTATTCTAAAGTCACCAAGAAGGGATGGTATCAGTTTCCTCTACACTAGTGTTAATGTTGATATTTTGTCTTCTTCTTATAAATCACAAAATTCGTAATGGCATTTAAAATTGGTGGATTGTTTTCAGTATACTTTACCGAAACCCAACAGAAGAATCTATAACATCTCCTGAATATGACTTGGAAGCTCAAGTAATATTACATCTGCATTATAGGTTGTACATTAAAAAGTGCATTGTCACTAAAAGGAATCTAAGGACTTAAAATATCCAATAACAGATGTGCTAATAATCCAGCTGTGTTCCATTTATAGAGGAAGGTGTAGATATAGCATGATTCTTAAAACCCGAGCAATGTTCAGAATGGTTCAGGTTAGGTGTTGCCTTCACTTTAAGTTGCCAGCTTGATTTATGCCTAATGAGAATCACCCTGTGCTTTGAGGCTTTCACACTTTAAAGGTGGGCATTGTCTTTTCTACATAGCATTTTCAATATAAGATATGTATTGAATATCTTGTTTAATGCAGCCACGATCATCATTTACCCTAGCTAAATTTAAGGATCCTGCATTAGCTTCTACAGTAGCATTTGCTATTTCACCTTGCAATTTTAGGTTGTGAGTGTGACTTTCACTAAATTCATGAACCAAGCTCTCCTGACTTTTCTTCTGAGGATTCTGGTCCACCAGAGTTCATAAGTCATAACCTCACTAATTCTCCAAAAGTTAAAAAAAAAAATGGTATAATTCTTGACAAAGGAGGAAAAATTATAATTTAACAGAAGGCTAAGGCCTTGTTCTGGCCTAGGTTTGGTCTTAGAGAAGTGGAGCTGGCTTCATCATCTATCCAGGTATCCAGATAATAAAACTTTCTTCACATGAGCAATAAAGCTGTTTTCCTTCCTTAAGTTGCAGGAGTAACACTTTTAATTCCCTTCAAGAAGTTTACCTTTGCATTTACATGGCTAGAAGTTGTGTGTGTTGTTCTAACTTTCTGCCTGTTGTGTCTTTCTACATGCTTTTGTCATAAAGACTGGTCATTTCTAGTTTTTAATTCAAGTAGGAGTTGGTGACTCTCACTTAAAGAGTTAAAGATTCTGAGGGTTATTAAACTAATTTCAATATTGTGTTTCAAAATAAATAGGCCAGGGAGTGGGGTAAGATTTGCAATGACTGATTGATAGAGCAATCTGCTCATCTTTCCATGAAATTTAAGGTGCCTCAAAATTTTTCATCATAACACTAAGATCACAAATCATAAACAAACAAAAAAATGTTAATAATGAAAACTTTAAGGGGTTGGAAATGAAACTAACAAGAGTGCTTGTCTGCCATGCTGGAAACATTGTGTTCTGTCTCTAGTATATTATCTGAGTGTAATATCTGAGTGTAATATCCTTGGGTATATAGAGTTTGCAGCCACCCTGGTAAGCATGGACTCGGAATAAAAAATATAGGGTTTAGATAAGCAAATCACCAAAAGTGTCCCAAACACTTTAAGTTAGCACATGCTTTTGGAAAATAGCATGTGTAGACTTGCTCAGAACAGGGCTCTTATGAACTCAAGATTTACAGTGCAATGTCTCTAAGCCAAAGCTTTTGTGAGCTGTTAAGATCATGTACTGAAGCTCTTACAGAAGACCTGAGCTTGGGTCCCAGCACCAACATCAGGTGTCACAACTTCCTAACATTCACTCAAAAGGATCTGAAACCACTGAGCTCCAACTGTACTCACATATGTGCACACACACACACACACACACACACACACACACACACATACACACACAACTAAAAACATCCTTTTAAAACGCAGTATCTGCAAAGTACAGAGAAGAGAAAAAAAACGTAGGCCTGGGTCAGCGTACCATTTAGATACTTTAATGTCTTTGAGTTTATATCCTTGAATAAGCTTTCTCCCATTGAATTTTCCTGTTCAACACAAATATTTGCTTCTTCTCCACTTAGAGCAATTTAATTAGCTATGAATAAACCATTGTCCTTAATAAGTCTATCAGAATAAGCAATAGATAAATAGGTCAGAATTTTTTTTTATTTTAAATGTTCTTTTAAGTTTAAAAAGCTACTTCAAAATATGAAGTACTAAGCCAGTTTGGTTTGGAATAAGCATGAGAAGGAGAAAAGAACCATCTCCCTCTAGTTCTTTAACTTTCTTCTTTCCCCTTTTTCCTCTCTCCCTACTTCACTATCCTCCATTTCTTAAGTTTCTCTCTTCCCCCAGCCCCTTTAGGTAATACTAAGTAGGCAAAATGGGCTCTGTGATAGTTTGAGTGTAACTGGCCCCAATAAAGTCATAGGATGTATGGCTTTTTTTGGAGTAGGTATGTCCTTGTTAGAGGAAGTATATCATTGTGCATGTGGGCTTTGAGATCTCTTACATGCTCAAGCCACATCCAGTATCTCAGTGCACTTCCTGTTGCCTTTAGATCAAGTTGTAGAATTCTCAGCTCCTCCAGCACTATGTCTGCCCGCGTGCTGCCATGTTCCACTATGTTGATAAGAACAAAATGTCTAAAACTAACCCAGCAATTAAATGTTTTCCTTTGTAAGAGTTGTGGTGGTCATGATATCTCTTTTATTGTTTAATATTTTTTTCTTATTTTACATATTGATCCCTCTGCCTCCCATCCTCCCATTCCCTCCACAGATTCCCCCCCCCCATATCATCCCCCATCCACTCCCCAGGGCGGGTAAGACCTTCCATGAGGGATCATCAAAGTCTGTGAAGTAATTTGGGGTAGGGCCTATTCCCTTTCCATGCCTCTTAAATGTATTTTCAGGGCAAATCCTTGTACAAGTATCTTAAAAACTAGGCTCAGTTCCAACTATTCTATTGATACCACTACATTAATCAAGTCACTACTCATATCAATAGAATAAATGGAAAGCAAATGTGAGTTAAAAAGCTGCTTTTCTGTGACAGATCCTTGCCTTGACCTAATGATTCTATAGCAATGACTGGGTTACAGAATCAGAGGTGAGACCCATTACTATACATCTTTCTGAGTTATTCTGAGCCCCAGCTGCAAGTATGTCATGCTTCTAAGAGATATGTCTCTTATTTTTATTCAATAATTCCTCTTTCAGATATAAATTGAGTATAGAGGAAAAGCCAAAGGGAAGAATGTTAAATGCAGCAAAATTGCTAAAAAATGGCTGGTTAGTTCTGTGGCAAGATTTTTCTTTTTCTGTTTTTTTTTTTTCCTTTTTTTATTTATTTTTTTTATTTAATTTTATATAACAAAGTCCAATTAAATGAAAACAAACATTTATACACAATATTTGGGAAT